TTTGACTTTAGTACCAGGATTTTATGTATGAAGTTTCGGGTCTGTACGACTATGTTAAGCCCGTAAAAAACTACTTCTTGTTTGATGGTGAACAACGCGTCCGTAAGGTAACAGCTTTTCACGCAGGACTTTGTGCTTGTAAAGGTCGTATGGTCAAGGTCTTTGGATGGTCAACAGCAATTTAGAGGGAGATACAAGCAACTGTGTAGCTAGTGCAAAGAAAACAGTGCTCAGACGGAGTGACCTCCTGTAGGTGGTGGCGCTGTGACTAATTAAAAAAAATTAAATCATGGATGTGTTCAGGACGGGCTCCTTGTCATGCATACATTTTTTGGTGATGATTGAACACTGCATAGTAGAGTTATAAGCATTTACAGTTTTTGGCGCGATGCCACTAACGACCTCAAAGTTTGACGCCTTATTTCGAAACCTCGTGATTTGAGCACAACTTTTATTCTTTAACTTGTCTACTTTCATTTGACACCAAACATGAATTGATCAGATAAACGCTCTCGGGCAGATGCTTTTAAACAGGTACCCTGTAAACGGTGAAAATACAGACATTTTTTTTTTTAGGGTGCTTCGGGCCCTAATAATCATTTGCATTCCAAGAGAGTCCTACGCACTTGTCAGTGCTTCGGGCCATAATAAAGGCTTACAGCTGCCTAAGACTGATTTGAGATGTGTCCTAGATTTTTGCCAGGAGGTTTGGGTCCGTCTCAGCTCCACCTCTCTGCCTATTACCAGGTTGAAATAGTATTTTCAATGGTGACAGACTTCATTGGGCTTAAATCTCCCCTTCAGTAACCAATAGGTGACGTCACTTAGGTGCTGTCCACTTAGCAGAGCAGCCCGGGATGCATGTGAATGCAAGATGTAAACAGCCTCTGAGACTACATCCATGTTTCATACAGTCTATGAGATGTATCTGTGGTGGAAAAAAAGTGATTCCTATTGTTTTCATTTCCACCCTGAAGGAAACTATTACCCTATTTCTGACCTCGCTCTGATAGCAGTGGTGGCCATGTTTCATTTTAATTTGTCAACGTACTATTCCAAACATTAACCCGGTCTAAACACTGTAGACATTTGCAAATATTAAAAAATAAAATTTGACTGACACTGACACATGGCCCCATGGTAGGAAGCAAACACTGAACTATCCAAACACAGCTCACATGTTGTACAACATAACACAACTTCAGATCAACACCTCACCTTTTATTTACTGTGTGTGCACATAACTACCTGAGTCCTCACACAGGTATTTTACTCGACAAACATATCCATGCTGGGGTATACATTTATAACAAGTAGAGATGCACTGATACCACTTTGTTGCAAACCAAGTACAAGTACTTACATTTGGGTACTCACCGATACCAAGTACCGTTACGGTACTTAATAATGCCACTGAATTTCTCTTAATCACTTTGAAAGTAAGTTTTATTTAAATCAGATATGATTCATTACTTTTCATTCATTACAAATGAAAAGCATTCCTGTTGCTGACATTATAACAGTTTTTAGAAACAAACATGGCACTGCCAGACATTTCCTTTTTATGTAACCTGTAACAAGCAAGCACACAGACATAAAGACAGGCACTTTACCTCGGATCGAGTACAGTAGCAATGCAGTAGAGTGGGGTTTTTTCAGTATCCATGAAACGCCTGTTGATGGCTGCAGCCAAGGTTGCTTTCATCATTTTGATGCCCTGATCCGCGTCTGTTTCTTTGGTCAAAAGTCTCTGTAGCACGGTCACAGCAGGAATAACATCTGATGCTAAAGCATCGGACAAGCTCACTTTTTGGGTTAACTCCTCAAATGGAGCCAAAACAGACAAGTTTTTTCCAGAAATGTCCAAATATTCCCAGAGCTCGCTTCTGCTCGGTGAGAGACTGTAGCATGTAGTACGTGCTATTCCAGCGTGTCTGCGTGTCTTGTTGGAGTCTTCCTACAGGCTGGTTGAGCTGCAGCTCAATGTCTTCCAGGCGGGAATAGGCTTATGCCAAATGCTTAAACTGTCCAACAATTGTACGCCCGACTGACACCGCGTCAGCTACACTCCTCTGAGCCAAAAGTCCTTCGTTAACAGCTAGCTTTAGCGTGTGAGCCACGCACAGAAGGCTGGGGAGTGCAAAGTATGCAGTCTGCTCTTCTTTTGTTGTCATCGTTTATGCTGAAATATCTCCACACCACCGACATCTTGCTTCTCTCCGCCTACCCGCTCAACTGAAAAGAGGCGCACGGCCACTGTAAAGTGGTATCGATGCCGTTGTATCCTCATAGTTTTACGAGTACGAGTATGAGTACTTAAAGGCGGCATCGGATCGATGCCGAATACTGGTATCAGGTCATCCCTAAGTTTTTTTTACATGGTACCTCTTTGAAGTCCTGTTTCCTTATTTCAAATAATAGACTGTTGATCCTGTGATAGGTGAGTGATCCTGGTATCTATGCTTGATTGTTTGATAGTTTTTTTTGTGTATATACCACAGACTGTATAAAGAGTGAACAGCCCCCCCTACTGACTGGCTGCAGTATAGATCATAATCCCCTCCTCCTAGATGTAAACATATGGGACATAGGTCAAACTATTCAATCAAAATACACATCATATACTTTTTCTCAGACCCGGTTTATTTGAGATATTTATTTTCGGATGATTTGTATTTCAGTCATGTTTTGCTGAGAAGTTTCTCCTTAATCATTTGATACCACAAAAAGGTTTAAAATGTCCTGATTGGCAGTTTTGTTGATAAATGCAGCTGCTGTGGCGCAGCGTGCACCGAATACTGGAAGAACAACGCGTAATAAACACTGACACAATAGTCACTGAACTTCCATAGTCATGAATGTCTGCTTTAAACCAGGACAAGAATCTGTTCTGCTATGGACTGTTCCAACTTTAAGGATCTTGGACATTTTATTGGTCAGTTAAATGGGTTTTCTTGTAGCGCCTTTGGCCATTCTTGTTTGAACACCTCATGTAGAGAGGCTGTAGGCCTTGCAGCCTGGGTTCATATCCGACCTGTTTCTCCTTAAAGGGATACTTCACCCATTTGCATTAAGCTTTGTATCATTAGAAATGTATATATTATATATATATATTTTTGAATGGTCATGCATCCCGCCCTCATTTTCCCGAGATGGGAAATCTTTGTATTTATAAGTCTGAAAAGGAGCTTCCAGTGACGCAAAATGATGATTTTTGCGTCACTGGAAGCTGTGGTTAGCTGGGTGAAACTACAACGCTAGTTCCTCGTATTTTCGACCACTGAAGCTAAAGACCAATCACAGAGCAGTGGGTGGGAACTCACTCCCAGAATCAAAACGTCCGCCACATTGCTTGGAAGCTATGCTTAATAACAGGCTCTATGGAGAAAGCTGATAATGGCGAAAAAATATAAATATAGCGGCTAGATGGCTGGTGCCGACAGGCCGGTCTTGTGTTTTGGCTGTTGCGGGGCTGGCGTTAGCTAGGACACAAGACTGGCCTGTCAGCAGCAACCGTCTCGCGGCTATATTGCAGCCGCCGGCCACTGCCAGCTCAGCAGCCGAGACATAATGCCTGTCTGTCGGCGGAGGTGAGGACGAGGAGCCCGGGCCGGGTCGAACTGGGGCGGACTGGTAGTGTCGGTGCTCTGTTTGCCTATGGACACAGACATAGAGTCTGTTTTCTGCCAGGAATTTCCAAGATCAATTCTGGAAGAAATCTCTGAATCAGTTGAGGAAATGGCCTTATGTGTTTAAGTAAATTATGTCTGTAAATGTTTTTATTACTATATTTCTACTGCTATACTGTATATTTCGGAGAAACTGTAACGATCGAATTTCCCTCTAGGATTAATAAAGTATTTCTAATTCTGAACTAGAGGACCTTAGTGGGAGTGGCCTGCGGTGCTGTGCATTCTGGGATTTGGTGTCTTTCATCCACATGAGCCAAGAAGAAACTTTCTGCCTTTTCTCGGCCAAGAAGGCACCAACTTCAAAATTTATTTCACATTTCTACTACATATATGACCCAATGTCAATACAGATTCATGTTTCAACGGGTGAAGTATCCCTTTAACCGCATGTCATTCCCCAATCCCTTTCTCCCTCCCTGATTTCTTATCATATCCACTGTACTGTCAATCTAGTAAAGGCATTAAAAATCCCCAAAACGAATCTTAAAAATAAAATGTGTTGTTTTTCTTAGCGGAAGTCGTATGACATCTATACGGCCGCTCTACCTGCCGTTCCCTACTGTGCAGACTCTGGCTCCAGATGCTCAATATTAGGGCTTTCACACTACGCTGCATGTGTAAATGGTAAATGGACTTGAGCTTATATAGCACTTTTCTAGTCTTCTGACTATTCAAAGAGCATTTACACTGCAGGTCACACCTACACATTTACACACTGTTGGCAGAGGCTGCTATGTAGTGAGATCATCCGAAGTAACTGATACCGTTCATATGCATTCATATGCCGCATCTGACGAAGCAGTGGAAGCAATTCGGGGTTAAGTGTCTTGCCTAAGGACATATTGGACATGATTCTGCAGGAGCTGGGAATCGAATCCTGGACCTCCCGGTTGAAAGACGAAGACTCTACGAACTGAGCCACAGTTGTTCATATGCAAAAACAGCTGAATTTTTCACTCCCACCTCATTTTTCCCACAGAAAGAATGAGCTGATGTGAGAACAACACAAGATATTATCCGGAGAATTCACTTTGAATCAGTGGGAGGAGGGAGTGACTTTTAGATCCTGTGACTGCTGCACAGTGCGTAGAGTGTTTGCATGAGACTGCTACGATCGCTGTACACATACTTAAACGGCTGCGGGAATTTATGTAGCATTGAGGTAAATATACTCATTACGTCATGTCTTGGCCAGGGATTTTACGCAGGCCATCTGAACTAATGTTTACAAATTGTGGTTTTAAGAAAATAAGTTGAAATTAATTATTTATTACATACTCTGACTCCCTTTAATTGATTTCCTCTTACCCTAGTACTTGGAGCTCCTGAGTAGTTTCCTGACGTTCCTGGCTTTTCCTCCAACGACTGCAGATCATTGTTCACTTCAGCAAAAATCAGACACACGTTTGCATATTTGGTAATAACATTCTTGTTGAGACACACAGCAGTATCAACACTGGCTGCACTGTTTGGGATTGTAATCTAGTCTTTACTCACAGGTGTCTTGCTGCGTGTATGTGGAGTGTCTCTGTGTGCAGCATCTGAAGGTCTGCCATGCCAAGATCACCAGTGCCAGCAGAAGAAGAGTGACTGAGATGCCCAAGATGCAGTATTTGACCGTGTCTGAGAATGGCGTTCTCAGGTCTCCGGCAGTGGATGGCAGTCTCACAGGTGCTGGATAGTCCATTTGCATCACCATGATTTTTAACCTCTTTGTGGCCTCTACATTCCTGTACAACATAGTGAGAACACTTCATGATGATATTACTTTAGGCCACACAATGGACCCTCAGTAATTAGACAGCACCAGTATATACATTAGAAGAGGTATGTATGTTAGCTAGCTGGAGTTTTTAGCAGCAATAGTGAAGAGTGATCTGTGACAGTCATACACAGTGCTGTGACCATCATGCAAAACTTGTTTGGCTAAAACCTTAAATAAATAATCATGACAAGTGACATCAGCACACAAAGAATATTCATTCTTGACAACAAGCTGCTCTCTTGATTTAAAAAAAATGGCACAACAGAGGAAAAGCAATAGTGAGAGATCTATGCAGATTTCAGTGAATGAGATGTATTACTTCTAGGAAGCATCACAATCCCCTGCTTACTGACCTGAGATTATATCAGGACAACAGTTTAAAGTAAAAAAGGCAGGCAGGAGACAGGAGCTATCGATTTAGTGATACAACAAATGGTTGAGGCAATGGGCAAAAAAGGACAATAATGACATTGAAAAAAAAAGCTCCATAAATCCTTTGTTATGACCCTGGATCGTATGTATGTATTAATTATGTCTAGTATGAAATGTGCATCCCTGTCTCCTCCTTTGCAGTGTGTGCATGTGTATATCTGTGCGAGTGTGTGTGTCAGTGGGTGTACTGTATGTCTAGGTGAATCAGGTGGAGATGGAGATGTTGCTGTTGAATGGAGGGAGCAAAGAGAATTGCAGCGACCGGATTGGTTGAACCACAACATTGGATCTTTCAAAAACTCAGCTGCTGCAAACTCTTCTCCCCTATTTCTGCCACTGCCAACAAAGCCAGCTTGACATCGTAACGTTTTTGCATTGTGTAGGCCAGATCTTGTTGTCTATTTGGAGTGACTTTGGAAGGCTGCTTAGTTGTGTAGAAATAGCAAAATAGAGAGTTGTTCAATTTGTAAATTTAAACACTCTAAATATTTGCACACGGCACAGCAGGAATTTTTGTTCACTACTTCTTCTCCTGTTTTTATTGTAGGAGACGAGGAAAGACGATGGTCATTTTAGTTTACTGTATTTCCATGTTAGGAAAGACTAGGTTTTTTGGTAGTCAACTTTTGTTTGTTGTTTTGAGCCTTGCTTTGCTCTGAAGAAAATAAACAGCTGTGGTAAATCTGAAGTTGACCTGGGCTGCTGGCTTTCTTGGGAGTGACAAGAATGGGGGTCACTCATCATGTTGTGTCTTGGTTTCCCTAGACAGGGGACATAACACGACTTGGGGGCTTGTCAGGTATTTGAACCCGGGACCTCCGTTGCATGGACATTCCTGGTCCCCACAAGGTTGACCGTAAACTTAGTGACACTGATTATGTGGTCCAAACTCCTAATCTTAAGAAAACAACTTTTGTGTGTCACGTAAACATGATAAAAAAATATGCAGAGCGTGAAAATTGTCAAGAGAAAACCTCTGTGTTTTTGGACAATTGTGAAAAACAAATCCATTTCACAATTTTAACATTGGCTCCAAGAACCATTTAGGCACTTTCCCTTTATTCTGGCTCTTTTAGGAGAAATTAAGTAGAAAATAAATACATGTAAATAATATTCAGCAGCGATTGTTAGTGGATTAAACTATTCTTTCTTCATGCAGCTGCAGCTGTGGGGCAGGTGTCTGAAAAAGTGTTACACAGCCTGCTGCAGATTATTTTACAATTTGCACCGCAAAGATTCCTGATAAGTGATACATTCTGCTGTTAAAAGAAAGCAGTCGAAGCCACTGCTTCAGTTCAAGATGTTGTGTTAAAAAAAAGCCAATCCACTTGTACACTTTGTTTTACTACATTCCTAAATTAAAGAAAAAATAGGGTTGGTGAAAAAGCTCAAAGACGCTCAGATCCTTATAAAGGTAACATACCTGCACTGAACAGTACACGATCTGTTCAGGTCAATACTGTATGTTCTTTAGCCAGCTCATTTCTGGAATAAGCTTCACTGGATAGGTTGTACTTTTAGGGAAGGAAACTAGTAGAGCTGTGCATGGTCAGAAAGACATGATTATGGACTATCAGACGCAGCATAGTCAAATGGCAAACACCTCATGCAAAACAAGGAGCAAGTTTCTTCTTCAAAAAAATCTACAAGTTGTCACTAAATAGTATAAAAATTAAATATTAAACATCACACATTGCATCTTTTCAGCAACAGTAATCAATATTGTTTGATCAATATCAATATTGCACACATTAGCTCAAAAACACAAACTACAGGTTATGGGTGATGACAAATGCCTTTTTAGCTACTGTGCAGACTCTGTTGCTGCTTTCCAATTGAAGAAATTCATAAAAACATAAAGGACAGACACAAATATTTACCTATAGAAAGATGCACATTTTCTTCATGAATGCACGCATCTTCCTGTGCTACAAATCCACGCTGACCTCCTGAAAAGTCCCAGAAACAAAAGGAGTTGGTGAGCAAGAACAATTCAAAAGCAGCATCTCATCATATACAAGCTCCTCCTCCTTTTTAGCACTCTACACATACTACCTCTCTCTCTCTCTCCACACACGCCCAGCACATGACCCTTCTGCACACCATTGTTGGCAAACTGGTTTTATTAGGTTGAGATGACACTTCAGGGAGCTTTACCTGACATGATAAGCAGTTATGTTCCTCCTTTAGAGTCTTCCATAGGCCTGCCAGCCAAATGTTCAAGTCAGGGAACTTTTACAAAGTCGAGGTTTGAATTGTCTTTATATCATGTCATTGTACTTGTGTATCTTCACGGTTATCAGCCAACCCCCCCTTGAACTGAACCAAGCCTAAACTGTCATTGTTCTCCACTCTGCATGATTTCTGAAGATTAATTTCACTCCTAAGAAACATTTCAAGATACTTCATTAGAAGTGTTATGTATAGTGCATGCTGCATGGTGGTTTGATACATGTTGTATGTTAATTCTTTGAGCTCTACTCTGTTCAATGGCAGATCTGCTTTATTATCTAACTGTATGCAAACTAGCTGTAGCTACAGGTAGTGTAAACTGACAATGATAACTCACACACACAGCTCTCTTACAAATGAGACTGGATCATTTCATTGTACACATTTAACAGTCATAAGTCATGAAGTATTTGCAGGACTAACGGCTTGAAGATAGACCTAAAAATGGGCCTTCAGCAACAGGTCACCCTTCTGAAAGACAAAGTTATTATGTAACCTAAACTTTTCATTGCAAGAATGAGGAAGAAAAACATATCTAAACTTCCTTGTTTGACATTGTGTTTTTTTTTTTTTGTCAAAGGTGGTAGGAGTTTGAAAAGCTACTTCTGCTACAATAAGATCCACTCATTATTCTTGTTAGTCTAAAGCTTAAAGACAAAAGCAGGAACACAGAAAAAGTATTTTACTTAATACTTCCAACTTTTATTGCACAGCATTCAATTCTTCAAACATTAGCTATCTCAAAAAATAAGCTACACATATTAACATATTTTAACGGATGCCTCAAGAACAAATACTACTGCAATATAAACACGGTATACAGGTGATACAACTCTTTAGTAGTACATCTGCAGATCATTCACTTTACTTCCTCATGTGTGCATAGAAATCTAAACCACATGATCTAATGACTGACTAGTATAGAGAGCAACCAGAGCTCTCAGAGATCATAATATTCACCATTAACTGTTCTATTAGTTATAGACTACAGTCATGTAGACTAAGGTGCTAATAAGTGCTTAATAATGACTAATAAGCAGCCACTAAGCTAATAATTAGCATTCTAATAAGAAACTAGTGAATGATCAATTGTCTGCAACTATTTTAAAGTGTTACCCAATATGATAATATTTCAGAGGCTAAACAGCAGCTTTACAACATTTGAGTTTTTTTCTACCAGGAACTTGCGGGTTTACTTTTCTTTGTCTCAACCTAGAGCACATATTTGATTCTATCTGAGGGACCTTCTCAAAACATACAACATGTCCCTTCACAAAAGAACACACACAAGAACAACTCTTATCAATAAAATGATACAACAATCTTAATTTTCCAGCTTTCAGAGACTCAAGAAACTTTTTAACAACTCAGGAACATCTGACTATCATACAGTAAGAGAGCAGTACTGCATAACACTTCAAAGGTCATCTGATTTAGCATTAAGGGAGCATTAAGCAAACTTTCTAGAAACGAGTATAAAACAAACTGAGCTGCAGTTGTGTGCAGCTTTATGGGCATTTTAAAATACTCTGAAGATTAAAACATTTTCAACAAAATCACCTTTTTTTTTTCAACAAATGTCATCTTTGGTCTATCTAAACAACAAAATCCAAATTGGTGACTACGATTGTCGTATAATAAATGACTGTGTTATAAACAACTTATGACATGCTCATGCTAGCATAGTGGGACTACATTCACAGGGTAGAAAAACACAGCACAGGTGGCCACCATAATTCAGCTTTCCAACTGCCAAATGTCTTCTTGGATGTATAATTATTGAATAACATCTAAAATGTAACTGTAGCCGTTTTCAGGTAGCACATCACAGCACAGCGGGAGCTCCACATACACACCAGGTCAGACATCCACGCACACACAGCGCTGTGCTGATCTCATTCTCACCTCTGAAACGCCTCCGTTACTACCACCTGAAGATGGTACAGACGGGGGATAATTTTGCCCCCCCATTATGCCTCTGTGACATTCATATTGAATGCGAAACAACCCAGGGGAGTTAATATCGCGGAGTCTGAATAGGGCTTCTGTTAAGACTTTCTCAACTAAGTCTCCTTTGTCTGTCTGAACAGTGAGTCTGACTCAGGATCAGATCAAAGGAATGTAGCAATATATTGTCATATGGACGCAGCTCAGATTAGTTATTGTAACTTGTTGGGGGTATTGAGGGCCGCACTGCTCTCCAAGTATACTCTGTAAACAATATGTAGCATAAAGACAAACTCTAGTACACAGAATACCCGGCTTATCCACAGGTATGGTGCACAATTTAAGGTAATCCCCACAAAAAGAAACAAAATGATCTTGGCCTTCTCGACTAAAGTTGTATGAGGAAGATGCACACACTAGTTAAATGTGGAGGAAAATTCAAAGTAAACACTATGCACTCGGTCAGTAATACATTGATCTTTGCAAAGCTGATCATACCATCAGTTAGTAGTGCTCTTATTTACCCTCAACGGGGTTACCACGGCAACACCTCTCCTGTAAAGTTCAGAAATGACCCATGGTCTTTTTCAGTCAGTCCACCAATCACAGACAGGATAGATGAGATGCTCTCCTCTGGACTCAGTGGAGCCTTGAAAGAGAAGGATAAACACATTTTAAATCATATAAAAGACCCAGAAGTGTTACTCACAGCACTTAAATGTATCAAGTCTTAATTCTAACATTGCAGGAAGTTAATCACACTTGATTCACATTTCTTTCAGAACATCCCAAAACCACTGTGACATAGTTAGGCCCTTACCTCAGACCCCCCCATATCAGTGCGGACCCAGCCAGGATGTATGGCCATACAGAGGATCCCATCAGGCTCCAGGTCCACTGCCATGCAGCGACTCACCATGTTTAGGGCACTCTGAGAGAGCAAGGAGAAGAAAAAAAAACTACATGGGACAAATTGCATAGAGTACAGTTTATCACTACAGCGGGGGATACTGCGGTGGAGCAACAGTAGGTGCAGCTGATAATTCACACTTGAATCCAATACTGCATGTTTCCATCAGAAAATATCTTTTAACTAGCACTGCACATAATTGAAAAAAACTGACACTTTGTTGTCTTTGACTTTCTTTATGCCCCGTGTCTACCTAGCGTTTTTCTGAGCGCCGGTGTCTTTTCAATTGTTTTCAATGAGTAGAAAGCATTCTGTGGCAGCAGGACTTGTTTCAGGTCATATAACTTGTACATCCTTCAATGTGACTATAATTGTGCAAGCATATATTGAAACTGTGATGGTCTAACAACATGTCCTTCATAATTACTAAATCACAAATGCAATACCCAACCGTAAAAACAGATTTGAAAGTCCTAAATGGTATCAAGTATGTGAATATGTCCCATGGAAACAGTACCTTGGACGTCCTGTAAGGGTACCATTTGAAGTTTTTGGCCCGTTCTCCCCAGTTAAGCTCCACAGAGCCAAGCAGAGAGGTCACGTTAATGACTGCTGCCCTCTGGATGCCCATGCTCGCTTCACTGCCTGCTCCTCCTCTTGATGCAGCTCTCTTCAATAGAGGCAGGAAGGCCTGGCGGGGATAGAAACAGCACGGATCAGTTTGTTGAGAAGAAAGCTGTTCCTATTATAACACAGCATTAGATACAAATTACAAGTTGTGGTGGGCCTCCTGCAGACCTGAGTGGTCCTTGTGTCCTTGCTAGAATGCCAGTGTGTACTATGCTGCTCTTGTGGTTAAATGCTTTGTAATAACGCTTAGGAAAATGCATCAAAATAAGTTCGGTATTCTTTGTAAAAGAAAGAAACAAGAAAATAGCTATTTACCTCTGTTGTATGTTTGACAGTATCTCTAAAATAACATTAAAAAAAATCTCAGATGGTTCCGATCTGTTATTGATTATTTTTTGTTGTTTTCCTAGCCAAATTCTAAATTTCCATCTTTGATCTCCGTGGTGGAGTTTGCTTACTTCTTTGTTTTGTTTTTTTAGCAGTTTTGGAGCACACAAGAGTGGCTTTAAGAGACAGAGATATTGTCCTTCAATTTGAGCAAACTGACTCACAGCAATCAGCTGCCCTGCTGGCATTGTTCTTGATCAGTGCCTGACTCCTTCCCACTACAGGGTGCTGCTCTGTAGTTTGATCTGCACTCTAAAGCCAACTGAAGCCAGACTATTTAATTAATGCAGGGTGCGCTCTGCTTAGGGGCCGGTAAAATGTATTTCCATCAAGGCCATCCCTTTGTATAACTTTGCAGCATTCAGTAAATTAAGGGGTCCTGTAACACAAAGTAACTGATCCACACAGCATTAAGCATACAATCCAAGCATGAACATTACCTTGGTGATCATCAGAGGAGCCACAGCATTGGTGTGAAAGTTTTCTATCATCTGCTCTGCAGTGACGGTATGAAAGTCGGCCACCAGGTTGATCCCAGCATTGTTGATCAGGCAGTTCAGACCCTCTTCTTGTACGAGTTGGCCAACCTCTTCCACAGACTTCTCTATACTCTCCTGGTTCAATACATCTAGAAGAGAGACAAAGATTTTGTTTTTTTTACCAGAATCCAAGTTGAGCAAATTTGAAACAGAGCATTTTTCTCTGTGTTGTAAGACTTATGCAGACCACAAACAAAGGACTGGATGGGTTTATTTCACATTTTGTGATTCAGTAGAAACCCAAATATATGTTCAAAAACACTGTAGAAGTGGATTTTTCATAATATGTCCCCTTTAAGGACAGCATAGCCTAGTTGGGCTTTAAGATGCTGGTTTGTTTACCTGTCCTACTCTTTTGTGATTGACTCAACATAAAATATTAAGTTTCCTTTAATTTACCTCTTAAATATCCAATATTGTATTTTTATGTTTGTTTATCACACAATAAATGTATAGAAGTTTATGATATAATATTGTTTCTTCACAAACACACTCTTAGCAGTCTTACCCATAGGGATAATGTGGATGTAGGGATGATTCGCTGCCAGTTCGTGAAGTTTCTTGAAGTCAAACAAACACAATAGTTGAGCCGCAAAGGTGAATGGAAGGAACAATGTCATGTTACTTTATTCCTGTGTTTTGGATGCACCTTTACACGTTATCAAGGTCGAGTTGGCGTCGTGCATACATGAATTAACTCTATAACAACAAATTAAAGAACGGGGAACTTTTCAGGTGTAGGCTACTGTACAGATAGTATTTACCTGTGCGCTCGCTGGGTGTCTGGTCGTGGCTATAATCTTGCCGGGTGAAAAACCTCCATTGGCCAGGCTGTCGACTATCTGCAGCCCGAGCCCACGGCTGGCTCCCGTTATCAGCACAGAGCCGCAGTTTTTGAAATTCATGACACCACTCATCGCATGTATAACCTTTATATAATATATATAACCTAAGGTAACAATTCGACAGCTTCAGCAGCCCGGCGGTGAGTGACTGGCTGAGCTCTCTTTCCAGACCTTTCTTGTTAAACCATGTGTGGTAATTGTAAACGGCTTAGCTGTCATTTCTCACAGTTATCGCGCGATTTCGCCGGTAGATGGGGAGATTGCTCCACTCGACCAAAATAGTATCAGCTTGTACATGAGGGAAAACAACAAGAAACAGAGTTTATACCACAGGTCTGGGTCGCTTGAAACAGTACACAGACAAAACATCTTTAAAAATACAGCTTTCACGATATGTTGACATGAACTGTATTGTTTAAATAATTACAGGAAGGTATGATTAACTGTTGGCCGGGTCAATTTAGGTTCACATTACCCAAAATTCATTGCGCACGTAGACTATACATATTGGTTATTCTCATAATATTAACAGACGGTGGTTATTCCTTTTTTCTCAGATTATCATACTCTTTTGGATGATACATTTTAATCTTGACCATATCACAATCATCTCCCAATCACATCCTCTCTATCAAAACCGTTTGTTTACCAATTTGGTCACACATTGTATCTTGTAAATAATAATAGTATTGATATTTTGAGTTGTTTCATATCATTTTAACATAGAAAAGGTAATACACAAGTGACGATGACAATTAAGGGGCAGTTTAAGGGGAAAAAAAGTCTTCCAAAATGTGTCAGTAATTGTCCATTTGAAGAGAAAACTATGCACAGACTTCAAAACAAAAAAACACCAATATATACACACACTTAGACGGTCAGACTCATGTAAAAAAAAATCAGCAAAAACACACAGTATACAGAAAAAAAATACATGAACACAAAATTAGAAAAAAAAAAGTGTCTTCAATGTTTATTTGCTCTTGTTTTACATTATATTATTTGAATGGTTTCTTCTATACCCAGTTCATAAATAGGGTCCGAGCACCGACCTCCGAGCGAGGACTCTATTGTATCTGTAGTGGTTTTCCATGGTTTTCCTTTGCACAAATGAATCACAAATTTGGGTTCCTTAACCTGCACGAAAACTCACAAATTTTTGCACCCAGACCGGGAGTGCGTGACATTTACGTATTATAGTGTTTCCATACAAGTGCAATGCAAAATGACTTAACAGCACTCCCTTTTGATTTTTACGAATAGGTTTTTTGCCTAACTACATGAAAATGTATGTACATGTTGAACATGCCATCATCTCCAGAGTTGGTCAATGTATTCTTGACATGTCAATGATCTAAAGTTTCGGTCTACACGATTCTACATAAAAGGGCGTGGCCTCTGCATACTGTCAAACTTTGACCTACATGCATGACATTTTTTATGCATATCAACCATGTCAGGACCTAAAAAGATCATCTTTTTATATAGAAGTCAAAACCCAACAGGAATTCTGCCATAAGTTTTGTTTTGAAAATTATAAATTTAAAGAAAAGGTAACAAATATATCAATAAAAATATAAATCTCTTACTGCTTTGTCGTAATGAATTACTATTACCAAAACATGCATTTATGATGACATTCTATCAAAATATTATACTACAAAGGGTATTTTATATATTAAAGACATTCTGTCCAAAGTGCTAAAATTAAGGCAAAGCTGCCATCTTGTGGTGACTAGAGAGGCAGATTTCAGTAAATGCTCATTTGGCCCAGGAATATCCTTGCAACATTTTTTGAGAGAAATTAAAACAGAAAAACTTAAAGCAGTTACTTAAAAAGGACAGAACAACCTCCAGAGGAAGCTAAATAAAACTTCAAGCCTTTGAAAGAGGAAATATCTTTTTAAACAACTGAGATTGAGCTCAGTATTTATCACAAACCACTGTTTTACCCCAATCAATTTTACCTTATGAACCTGGGCTTTGTGTGTAACAGCTGACCCCTTTAAGCATACAGAACAATATTTTAGATTATAAAAAAGCAGTATGTCCACATATTTAAATAATCAATAATAAGCTGATGTGTTATATTCATTAATTCGCTTAGCACAAGCACTTAGACCATGCTACATGCTATGGTTTGTGAAAGACTAAGTACAGCTATACAGAAATAAAAAGTAGCCTATAGCCAGTACAGGTGGGGAAAAAAATATATATTTTGTGTAGTGATGTTATATTGTTTCATGGCTGTCAAGTTTTGATATTTTTTATTATATTAATAGCAAATTTGCTTGTTTAATTTTTATTGCTGAAGAGGTTGCAAACTTACATTTTGAAGAAGTTGCATTTTTAACAATAACTTAAATTGGGCAGTCTTTCATACATATTTTTGTCCAGTTAACTTCCATTACAGTGAAAAAACAGTTCAGACTGAGAGCTGCATGAAGCCTTTTACAGGGTTTGACTTTGATCAGTGTTGGTCATTCTCAGGGCTTAGATCCTGTTGTGTAAAAATTAAAAGACTGAAATGAGTAGACTGACAATGATTTATTTCACCCAAAAAAATCTTGATTTATTTAATTATGTTGACATAGAGAAAGAAATTCTTAGCATCTTGCAAAATGTGTACAATTGCAACAATATCGAATCCTAACTGAAGTATTGTGATAATATTGTGCTGTGGGGCCTCTGGTGATTCCTACCCCTAATAGCTAGTATGTAAGTACAGTACATGAAGAAGCAATAAAAGGAGACAATGATGAGTAAAGTCTGATGGCAATGGATGAAAACACAAGACCACCACAAATCATGATTTACATCTTGGGTGATGTGGTGATTGAATGAACTGCCGATATGCCATAGATTTTCATGGATAGAAAGTCTACTGAAGTATGTTGCGAACATTGAATGACCCAAGTCTTCTCGGGAAGAATAATCTTTTCCATCCTTCTTGAAGAAAGACATGACAAGGTAAACGTCAGCATGGAATCCACAGCATGGATACATTGGAACTGACGACGACAACAGGCACAAATCGATCTGCTGGCCTCCTCCTTGGCGCCACCTCGCTGCTGCTTCGTTCCCCGCGGTCGCAACACACCCCAAGTGCGAAGGCCCTTCATCACCGTTTGCGGTTTTAATTACAGTAATAATCTGTGGTGATTTATATATTTGATTTAAGGTCATACATTATGCAAAATACACTTTACCATGTTTTTCTAACATCAATATGTGCCCCTAGCTTGTCTACAAACCAACCCAAGTATGAGAAAATCATCACTTTTCAGAAAATGTGTGCTCAAACAGGTCGTTTGGAGATTTTCCCTTCATGACATCACAAAAGGCAGTAACCCCTCCCCCAGGTGTGTGAAACTTCTACCGCTAAGTTTTTGTTCTGCCCTCTGAGTCTGCCTTCTCACCGTAAACAATTTGGCATGGTGCAAGAAAGCCAGAGCCACCCAAGCCCTTCTAGAAGAACAGAGCTCATTTGCATTTAAAGCTACAGACACAGAAACAGCCTGTTCTGAGCAGGGCTGAAATAGAGGGGTCTAAAGGCCTGCAAAATACAAGATCAGAGGGGGTTTTTATCAAGAAACTTCATAGGCAGGTTTTGGGGAGATCTGGGATGTATTTAAAGTTGTTGACAAAGGAGTATAATGTGTGACCTTTAATGGAGCAATGCAGATAATATGGAAGATATATTTAATTTCCACATAAAACTATTTCACATCTTTAATCATGCATTTTTTTTCATTGAATCAACTACATACTTTTATAGTGTGAAGATTCTTATATAGATAATTAATTTTTGTAACAATGATTTTCTAACTGTTTGCACAATGTGTTTGCTTCCTTTTTCCATCTTAATAAGACTAAATGTCTGAAATATTAGAGCACTTTCCAAGAACCATATGTTAACCATATGAATATATTTATGTGGTTCTTCCAAGTCTTCAAATATTTATGATAACATATAGTCTGGCTCCATGAATTCTAATTTTATGTTGGAGGGATGCACTGTTTGCTGTTCTATCTACATTGTGTTCAAATATTGTAGCTAAGATGGACATGCAGACACGAGGGTGACAGCACAGCTTCTGCAGTCCAAACACAGATGGTTTGTCTGGCAGCCCCCTTAGTCCAGATTTCCTTAAAGCTTCCGGTGCTTGGGAGCAGCAGATACACCAGGTCTGCTTTAGGTCAGTTAATTTGGAATTTGGCTTCCATGCCTTCATTTACAGGCAAGCTACTTTGGCACAAAGCACACAGAGCAAATTATGTGTTTGTAGTTGTACAATGTGCGGTGCGGCAATGGGCTCTGCTAAGCATACAAAATAGTGTGGTGATGTATTGTCTGCACAGAAAATACAGCAAAAAATCTGTTGTAGCTTAGATTGCTATTGGTCAATCTGGGAAGCATTCCAGACAGACAGAAGAAATTTAAACTATTGTATTTTCTAATTTTGCCAGTTCTGCTACTTTAAATTTTTGTTTACACTACAAAATCACCTGAGTAGTCCAAGTCCACAGTTTTACTCTAGTATCACTAAGCTGCCCTGATGCTGTACTGTCTGACTAACCAAACAGCACTCTTAATAAAGAAAGTGAACTTAAAAATAGAACAAAGAATCTGAAGTGGATTTTAAAATTGATAAACTGATGAGCTGTGGCTCAGTTGGTAGTGTCTCAACCGGAAGGTCGGGGTTAGATCCCCAGCTCCTGCAGCCACATGTCCGACGTGTCCCTTGCCAAAACATGTAACCCCAAACTGCTCCCGACGTATGAATGTGTGTGATTGGGATTAGTTACTTCTGATGGTCACTTTACTGAGCCACCTCTGCCAGCCATCAGTGTGTGAATGGGTGCGCACCTGCGGTGTAAAAGCGCTTTGAGCAGTCAGAGGACAAGAAAAGCGTTAAACAAGCTCAAGTCCATTTACCATTAACCAAACCCTACTTTATATGCAGGGCTTTTCAAACAATCAGTAGGAATCCAATCCAGAATGCAGCAGCCAGAGTCCCTACACAAACAAGATAAATTAACATATCACTCCAGTCCTCAAAATAAGTCATACAATACAAAATCCTTTCATTGGCCCACACAGCCCTCAAAAGTAAGTTTATTTTTGACTTCATCTCAAAACTCAATCTGG